GGTCTAGCCACACATTTCCCCCTCCTCCTTCCACCCACACCTGCCCGAGCAGCCATCAGAAATGTAGGGGCCCCTTACACGGCTTTAGGCCGGGGCCCCCCCCGACGTGCTGGACGCAGGACCCACCTGAGAACCAACACATACCTGAGAGTGACCCTGCAGAGCCCACCATAGATGCTGCACAGCCCATTTGATACTCTCTATGGTGGGCTCTGCAGGGCGTCAGGTGGGCTGGTCAGGGCTGCATCTCCCTCCCTCCCAGCTCCTCCTGGTGCCTGTACACCTGGCCTCCTCTGCTGCCGGACTGGCTGGAAGTGACGCAATGTCACTTCCGGACAGTCCGAGATCAGAAGAGCAGCGGGTCCGATGGGGCCCGGCCCCCTCCTCACCTGTCACCGTCGACCGATACTCATGAAAGGCTCGCGGGCGGGCCCCCAGGCTGCCTGGGCCCCTTACATGAGCATCGGCCGTATCCCCCCTGATGGCAGCCCTGCATGGGGAGATCCGAAACAGCCCTGATACGACCCGCACAGCCATGGTGAGACCTATACACAGCCCTGGTGCAGACATCCCAAGTCTCCCGGATGGTCCGGGAGTCTCCCGCTACTAGATAACGGCTCCCGGACGCCCGCAAGAGAGACATTTTATCCCGGAAAGGATTGGAACCTTTCCGGGTCTGATGCTCTCACTAGCTCTGCTGAGTATCAATAAAGTTTTCAGCTGTAAGGGGAAAAAAAAGTTTGTGCCGCTGGCTGGTCAGTGGGAGGGGTTTAGGCACGGCAGGGCGGCCTGTGATTGACTGGAGACAAGAGTCCCTGAGCTAGCTCTGCAGACACCTTGTGATGAGTGCCGAGGGGGAGCCGATAGAAGACGCCTGTGGAGGGTGAGTGGCACACTTCCTAGTCTTGCCATATACTGTGTTAATAATCACAAATAAAATAAAAACATAATGTAATTAATAATAACATTAAATAATATAATTAATAATAATAAAATGGTATAATATCTACTATGTTTGTGTGTATATATATATATATATACATACATACACATACATACACAAACTCACACATATATACTATTATAATTATTATATTATTTTTTATGTTATTATTAATTAAATAATATTTGTAATATTTGTATTTTATTTGTGATTATTAATATTATATGCTGCTGCTGTCAATCAGCAGAGGTGGACCTGAGGTGCTCCTCTGCTGATTGACAGCAGCAGTGGGTGGGTACAAGAGCAAGCCTGCTATTGGTTATTGCAATTTGAAATGACCAATAGCAGCCTAGCTATTCATTCCCCTGCTAGTTAGTTGGTTTGTTTTATTGTGAAGGTGGCCGACGGCCGCTGTCAAAATAAAAAAAAACAGAGAAGGTACCTCCCTGAAATGAGAACGTACCTCCCTGAAATGAGAAGGGCACCTCCCTGAAATAAGGTTTTGCAGGTTGGGATGTCTGCTGGTGAGACCTATACACAGCCCTGGTGACACCGCACAGCCCTGGTGACACCCCATGCAGCCCTTGTGAGACCCATACAGAGCCTTGGTGAGACCTGCATGCAGCCCTGCGAGACCGCGCAGAGCCCTATATAAATTATAAATATATATATATTTTAACTCGCTATATATTTTATGCAGTGAGTGTGAAAAAATAAAAGGATGTGTGTGGAACCAGTAACAATTAATCCCTGACAGTATCAGTTAGCTCAGTGTAAACTCAGAGCCAGGTGAGTACACCCAGGTGAATAAGGCGCGTTCCCGCGCTGCGCGTGCTGGGCTCTGGGGGGTAAATGTCGAAGCACCGCACTGGAGGAAGTTTGTCCGCCCGGCGCTCGCCGTAGGAGTGTCGCTCGGTTGTGTCACGTGACGTAGAAGGACGGAGTGTGTTGTGTTGTAGTGGGGGAAAGAGATGTCGGTGACAGCAGCCGTGGCGGGGCGCCCTTCTGGCTGACGTGACCCGCTGTGGACTGTCGGTGTGTGCGCCGAGCTCGGCTCCTCAGGTGAATGTTCCAGAGCCAAGGGGTGGAGGGGTTTCTCCTGGTCACTGGATGTAACAGGGAGAGCCTAGGGGATTCGGGCGATGTATAACCGGACATGGCTTTGCTATGTAAACACTCGGTGTAGTTGTGTGCGTTAAAGTGAACCTGAACTCTACAGGGGGTCGGCAACCTTGTCACTGCAGTTGTGGTGGAACTACCAATCCCATAAGGCATTGCAAGACTCCGACAGCCCCAGGCGTGACTTCCAGAGGCATTATGGGATTTGTAGTCTTATTACAGTTGGAGGTTGCCCACCCCTGGAGTACTGAGCCAGCTGTTGCTGTATACTTGTGGTGCCTTGCACATGGACTCCCTGTACACATCAGAGAAATGACCTGTGCCATTTAAACACACTTTATACTTCTCGGGTCTGGTTCTCCTGTGTTTAGGTGATCACACATGTACACGCAATCAGAGTATCTGATCTGCCTCTGGACGCACACAGAGAGGGGAATTTATCACAACTGGAGCAGGCGGAAGCTGGTGTCCATGGCAACCAATCAGCTTCTCTCTTTCATGAGGGGTGGGGGGGGAATGGGGTAAAGGACTTTTACTTACCTGATTCCCACACCCCCACCAAGACAGGCACCCAGGAAATTTGCTGCAGAGCAAAAATTAAAGCAGAACTCTGGGATTTTCAGAAGTTAACCCTTGTAGTTGGGCTACCCCTGCAGTGCAAGGGTTAAATGCTCCTTTTTTTTTTTTCTTGGGGTCAAAAAAATAAAACATTATACTCCCTAGAAGATTTAACTCCTGACTTTAGTGTCACTTTAAGATGTTTTGTTTTCCTGTATAAATCCTAAGCGGAGTAGATCTGCTGTTTTAGCTGTACTATACCAGGGGTAGACAACCTCGGCCCTCCAGCTGTTGTGGAACTTCAAGTCCCATGAGGCATTGCAATACTCTGACAGACATGACTCCCAGAGGCAGTATGGTAATTGTAGTTTCAGCACAGCTGGGGTGCCAAGGCTGCCTACCCCTGTACTACGATATATGTTTCTGTATATTGTAGCAGGAATCGTTCTTAACCACAGTCTTCTGGGGCAAATACAGCACCAGATAGTCCACTCGACTTTTCCAAAAGCTTTATTTTCCACAGCACACAAGTATTTCTGCAGTTCATGAAATGCAGTCCATTCTTTGCAGTAAAACACAACACTTCCTAACATTAGTCAGTCCTTTCCTGTACTCCAATGTGGTTTCCAAAATAATGTCCTTTTCAGTGACAAACAGATCCATGCAGGCTTCAATCCTCCAGCTCACCTAGCTGGGTTACAGTCTCTAAAGCTGCCCATACACCTTACAACCATCGCACGACTTTCGTTGTGCGATGGTTGCAAGGTGATTCAAATTTCGTACGACCTGCCCATCATGGACAGGCAGACCGTACTTGCGATCATCGCAAGCCCTCCCCGCTGAGGGGAGGGCTTGCAGACGATTGCAATGGTGAGCGGGCAGTGTGCGCTTGCGCACCTTGGCCCGCGCGTCTTGCGATCGCTCCACCAACCCGCCGAAAATCGTGCTCATAATACAAAAGCCGTGCGACTTTACAGTAAATGCGGTCGCACGCTGCCCATACACCTTACAACCATCGCACGACTTTCCTCCTGCGATGGTTGTAAGGTAATTAAAAGCTCGTACGATCTGCCCATCTTGGACAGGCAGATCGTACTTGCGATCATCGCAAGCCCGCCCCTCTGAGGGGAGGGCTTCCGATGATTCCAATGCCGGGAAGGCCCGTGTGGCATTTGTCTCCTGAGAACGCCACTAACCCGCCAAAAATCGTACGATTCTCGGCGGATTTTCAAGCCTTCTCGGGGATCAAAAGACGTGCGACCTTACAGTAGAAACGGTCGCATGCCTTCCATACACCTGCCGATTATCGTACGATAATCGGCAGGTGTATGGAAGGCGTGCAACAGTTTCTACTGTACGGTCGCACGTCTTTTTGTCTTACGAGCATGTGTCTAAGGGTGCCCACACACCTTACGATAATCGCGGGAAATCCCACGATCGTACGATTATCGTAAGGTGTGTTGAAGCCGTGCGACCTCTACTACTGTAAGGTCGCACGACTTTTAACATACGAACATGTTCGAAAACCCGCCGAGCATGGTACGATGTTCGGCGGGTGTGTAGCATGTACGTAAGATAAAAGCCGGACGGGCCGGTGTGCGCAAGCGCACTGCCCGTTCGGCATTGCGGTCATCGGAAGTACGATCTGCCTGTCCAAGATGGGCAGATCGTACGTTTTTTTTATTACCTTACAACCATTGCAAGACAAAAGTCTTGCGATGGTTGTAAGGTGTGTGCCCAGCATTACGAGCTTGTGGCGTGCTCGTAAGACAAATGCCGCACGGGCCGGTGTGCGCAAGCGCACACAGCCCGCTCAGCATTAGTCATCGGAAGCCCTCCACTCGGGGGCGGGCTTGTGATGATTGCAAGTACGATCTGCCTGTCCAAGATGGGTAGATCGTACGTTTTTTTTAAATTACCTTACAACCATCACAGGATGATGGTTGTAAGGTGTATGGGCACCTTTGCACATAAAGCCAGCCTTCCTTTTTAAACACTCGCAGCCACAATCATGGGCTACACCTGTGATTACCAAGCTGCAATGGCAAAACCTGGACTGGACAGCTTACTGAGCTGATAGGATAATGGCCCACCCTTTCCCTTCTCTCCATTACCCCAACCCCAGGGACCCAGAACACAATTTATAAGTTGCACACCTAAATCATACACGCTTTCCCTGGGGTTTTTAACTAAAAAGAGGAATGCAATCTAAAAGGCTTGGTCTTGTATACCTCCCATTTATAACCATGCTTTGCTATCTGTCACAATATGCACTACGCTATATGTTTCTAACGTTTCTTTATATTGACAGGCTGGATTACACGCAGCAAGGACCTAAGTGGAGCTGAGCGTGTCCGAACATAAGAATCCACGACCAGCTGACTGGAAATCAGACACCGCAGGCTGTGAATCGGAATCGGGAAGATACAGAGGACCTGGATGAGCAGGCAGGTTGGATGGCTGTGCTGTGACATCTAGGCTGAGTTACTAAAGGAGTTAAGAACGTTCACACAATACATCCAATGCAATAAAAAAGAATCCAGTAAAAACATATAAATTACTTCACCGGGTCATCTGTAATTTTAAGAAAGCACAATACATTACATAGGGTTATGACACTAATTTGCTAAAGGAGTTCATGAATGTCCACACAGTAAACTCTGAAAATATTCACTCCAGTTATCCGAATAATATATGCAGATAATATACGCCGTGAACAAGAATCCGCTTTTCACCCGATTACGTAATTGAAGTGAATATTCACCCAGTGAACATTCACAACTCCTTCAGTAAATCTTCTTCATATTCTTATGGATGTTGTCTTTCTCGAATCAGACGGCTCGGTTTATTGAGTGACATTTGTTTATTTGCATTGAATGGGACTCGCAGTTTGTACCTGTTTTGTCATTCGTGTTTCAGCAGTGTACCATCTGAATGAGCGGAATGAATGTGTATCATTTGATGTGATGTCCTAGAGATGTAATTGCCGGGTGGATGGACAAACCTTATTGTAACCATTACTGCTAATTGACAGAATTCTGCTTTATACTTTGGGAAATCGGTGTGCTTTGAGTTTTAAAATGATAGCCTGCACCCCTTTGATTGGGTTCAACCTGATACATTAAAGTCGATCCACAGGTGACTCAGTGAAGTTGTATTTCTTATGACCAAATATTTTGTGAAAAGATTTATTACCTGTTAATTCTAAGGACGTGTGTTTAAAATCTTGCGCAGTTTCCTGGAATGAATGTCTGTGACCCCCCCCCCCCCCCCCCCCCCGCCAGCGCCCC